TTCCAAGGGAGAGCACAGCGCAGCTCTGCCAGCAGCCCGTTGTGGGCTGATGAAGCAGGAAAACTTGTTTTTCCTCTTCTCAATGACATAAACGTGTGGGGTGAGGACTCCAAATGAGCTGTCAGACCTTGCAGGACCGGGTTCCCACAGTGAGTGACACATCCTCAAATAACACCAAAGGAAACAAGCCCTGTCCTTGACCAAGCTCTGCCTCCAGCTGGGTGGCTGTGCCTGTCTGAGACACGGCAGGCAGCAGCCTGGGGAGCTGGGCTCTGCTCCAGCCCCAGCCCTTCCCCTCTCCAGCTCGGTGAAGGCCAAGCATGGTGATGCATAACTAACAGCCAGGCACCTTGGAGACAGGCAGCTCCTGCTCACCTGCCTCTGAGGGGAAGGAGATGGAGCCAGGAGCCTGCTCAGCTCTGGAATTCTTCAGGGAGACCTTAGCAGTGCATGTGCAGTGCCACCAGGCTTGGAGGAAGGGCTGTGACCACGGTCACAATGTGTCTTTATTTGTAAGTCACACGGTGGAGACTGGTGGCTTCGCCCACAAAGGGATATCGCTGTATCTCATGTTTCTCCATTCAAATTGCAACTGGACACCTGTATCCAGGCTGTTTGCTGGCTGAAATGGAAACTTTATACTCCTCTGACTGTTAAATTTGGCTTTTTTCCCCAGCTTTAACCTGAAAGATATCCCTGCTGGGCTGAGCAGCGAGTCCAGGCTGGACCGCAGCAAAGGAGAGAGCCGCACAGAGAACATCCTCATGGACTCCTCCTCCACCCTGATCAACAACGAGGGTAACGCTCCTGGGGGGGCACAATCCAGTCCCACAGCTCTTCCCCCCTCAGCCACAGACAGGGCACAAACTGGGGCATTCATCCTGTGAACTGGGGTGGCTGCATATGCTGCAGCCCCAGGGTGAAGGGCACCAAGCCCCAGGGCGCTGCAAAAGGGCAGCTTTCCCCCATGATCTGGGGTGACAGTGGTGGGGAACTGAGCTGTGTGGCTCAGGCACAGCTTGGCATGCTGGGTAGGACACTGGGAGGTGGATCCAGTGGTGTGATGAGCTGATTTCTCTTTCCCTGGACACGCAGACAATGAGGAGACAGAGGGCAGCGATGTCCCTGCGGATTATCTGCTGGGGGATGTGGAGGCAGACGAGGATGACCTGTACATGATGGACCACGAGAACCCACATGGTGAGCACACAGGGGAGGTGTTGTCTGGTGATGGCCCCAACAAGGGGAGAGAATGATGAGGAGGACTCCATGGATATCAGAAGGCTAATTAACTACTTTATTATACTGTATTATTCTATACATCTAAAACTGAATCTGTCAAGCACTCAACCCTGCACACATTGCACTGAATTTCGTGACTGTCACCTGACACTCCTGACAAACACACACACACACACCTGGCCCTGATGGGCCAAGGAAACAAAACACCACATGTGACAGTGTTCATAGGGGTCTCAGGATGAGGGAAGAGATGAGGATCTGACTCCATGTTTCAGAAGGCTTGTTTTATTATTTTATGATATATATTACATTAAAACTGTGCTAAAAGAATAGAAGAAAGGATTTCATCAGAAGGCTGGCTAAGAATAGAAAAAGAAGGAATGATAACAAAGGCTTGTGGCTCAGACTCTCTGTCTGAGCCAGCTGACTGTGATTGGCCATTAATTAGAAACAACTGCATGAGACCAATCACAGATCCACCTGTTGCATTCCACAGCGGCAGATAATCATTGTTTACATTTTGTTCTTGAGGCCTCTCAGCTTCTCAAGAGGAAAAATCTTAAAACCGAGATTTTTCATAAAAGATGACTGTGACAACCATGACTTTGGGTAAACAATCTCCATATTGCATTCTGCTTTGGCACAAACACAAGCACAACAAATGATAAGAATTGTTCTTGGGAAGAACTGTGCCTTGCTTTACTCTGTGAAGAGAAATGCAGGGCTCCACAGCTGGGTTTTCTCCTGCTCATCCCTGCAGCCGAAGAGCAGGAGTACAGCCTTCCCCAGGAAGCCTTCCCCCTGCGCCACGAGATCGTGGACAACCCGTCAGCCTTGGACCACCTGCAGGACAAGGCTGACTCCCCTCACGTCAGCGGCAACGAGGCCGAGACGGTGTCGCTGACGCCCGTGGAGTCCTTCTCGCTCATCTCCATCTCCCACTCGCTCTACGAGAACCGCCTGCCCTCTGACTTCTTCAGCCCCATCGTGCGGGACACGCTGCTGTTCTACGCCGAGCAGGGCGACGTGCAGACGGCCGTGTCCGTGCTCATCGTGCTGGGAGAGCGCATCCGCAAGGAGATCGATGAGCAGACGCAGGTACAGCCATTGGGGCAGGGCCACGCCTCACTGGGGGTGCAGCCCCATGGGATGGGGTCCTGCCACATCCCTTCTCCTCCAGCCCCTGGCAGGGCAGCTCCAGGGCTCTGGTTCCTGCCCCACCAGGAGTCCTGGCAGGGCGTTGAGGTGGGCTGTTGTCATCATATTGTGAAAGTTCCACACCTCCTCAGTGATTTCTCATGGAAAGCTCCTCACAGCACTGACTCCTCCTTCTTCACAGTACAACCAACAAACTCCAACTCTCTCCTGGACCAGCTAACCCACTCTTTGGTGGCACTCTTCCTTACTAGTCACAGCTGTGGCCTATCAAGGGCAGACCTGTTCGTAATCTTTGGTAATTAGTACAGCTGCAACTCCTCAGGGGTGAGATTGCCTTCTGCACTATCTCTGTTTTCTCACATTGGGTTAAAAGGGGAAATAATCTAGGTGTCACTTCTTAATTGGATAGTTTAGCTTTAAAAGACCTTGTAACGAAAGATTGTTGGCCATTTTTGCAGTGCTTTTCCAGTGCCCTGAGCCTGGTGTGGACAGTGTGCAAAACTCTAGATAAGGTAACCATAAACAAGAACCTCCACAATTCCCCCTTTTCTTTTAATTACAAAGGTGGGCTGTGCAGGGCCAGCATGGGGAGGTGCCCTTGCCCTGTTGATGCAGGGAAGGATGCTCTGGGGTACCTGTTGCTGATTCCCTGACTTCTAGGACTCAGGCTGGGCCCTCCCAGGGGCTCCCCTGTTGGGGGAGACCCTCCTGGAGCCATCTTGTGTCAGGAGAGAGAGACACACTGGATCTTTTTGGTCTTCAGGTTCTTCTTTATTGTTATTTAACTAGAGTTTTGCATGCTGTCCACACCAGGCTCAGGGCACTGGAAAAGCACTGCAAAAATGGCCAATCTTTCGTTACAAGGTCTTTTAAAGCTAAACTATCCAATTAAGAGCTGACACCTAGATTATTTCCCCTTTTTACCCAATAACTGGTCCCACAGAGCCCACAATGCAGATTTTTCCACCCAATTACAAAATGGCACCCAAACCCATGGAGAAGAAGGAAAAAGAAACATGAAGAAGAAACCCAGGATGACACCCTGTGCCCTCCATCTTGCTTCCATCCACAACACACTAAAAATCCCAAAACCTAATTTTCCCACCTAAGTGATACATCTACACTTCTCTCTATAATCTATTTAACACTTTCATGGATTCTAGTTTATCTTGAAGTTTATGAAGCTTTCTCCATGAATGAGGGTCAAAGTCAGTGCTGCCCTGGGGGTCAGGGCACCCCAGAGCAGACAGAGAAATATTCCCTGTGGGGAATTCCCTGGGTTTCCACAGTTCCCCAGCATTGCAGAGCTGTTCTCCCACTGCAGGGATCAGAGGATTACAGAGTGGTTTAGGTTGGAAAAGGCCTCTGAGATCATTGAGTCCAACCATTCCCCCAGCACTGCCAAGGCCATCACTGAACCATGTCCCCAAATGCCACATCAACAGCTTTTAGATCCCCCCAAGGGATGGTGACTCCACCACTGCAATGGGCAGCCTGTGCCTGTGCTTGACCACCCTTTCCATGAAGACATTCTCCCTAATATCCAAACCAAACCTCCTCTGGCACAGCTTGAGGCCATTTCCTCTTGTCCTATCCCTGTTCCCTGGGAGCAGAGCCTGACCCCCACCTGGCCCCAGCCTCCTATCAGGGAATTGTAGAGTGGGAAGGCCCCCCCTGAGCCTCCTTTTCTCCAGGCTGAGCCCCCCAGGGGAATCTTGCCTTTGGGATGCAGGGCTGGGCTCCTGAGGGGGTTTCAGGGTGGGTGTGGAGGCTCAGCTGTGTGTGGCTGTCCCCAGGAGCACTGGTACACGTCCTACATCGACCTGCTGCAGCGCTTCCAGCTCTGGAACATCTCCAACGAGGTGATCAAGCTGAGCACCTGCCGTGCCATCAACTGCCTCAACCAGGCCTCCACCACCCTGCACGTCAACTGCAGCAACTGCAAGCGGCCCATGAGCAACAGGGGCTGGATCTGCGACAGGTGAGGGGCTTCTGGCGACAGAGGGATGGGGTGGGTGCCCCTGTTCCCTCTTTTCCCTGCCCACAGCCACCCGAATGTCCCCGCGCAGGTGTCGGCAGTGTGCCAGCATGTGTGCCGTGTGTCACCACGTGGTGAAGGGGCTCTTCGTCTGGTGCCAGGGCTGCAGCCACGGCGGCCACCTGCAGCACATCATGAAGTGGCTGGAGACCAGCTCCCACTGCCCTGCCGGCTGCGGCCACCTCTGCGAGTACACCTGAGCCTGCCAGGGCACACCTGGACCCCCAGAGCACACCTGAGCCCCTGGCAGCGAGGTGGGGCAGGGGGGCAGCAGGGCCCTGCCCGGTACCCCTGGCACTGCTCTCTCTGTATTTATTTGTGTAAATAAGGGCTGGGGGGGCACCCCCTGCCCGGCCGTTTTTTACTGGATTAAAACAAACCAGCAGTTGATTCGAGCCGTGACTCCTGTCTTTGCTTCGCCTGGATGCAGTGACCCCTGGCGTGGGCCCCGGATCTGCTCCGGCGGGGGTCCCGGCCCTGCGGTGTCCCCGGTGTCCCCACGCTGTTGTCCCCTTGGGCCGGGGGGACACTTTAAGCTCATTTTCCGCTGCTCCTTTAAGTAATGGTCCTTACCGGGACCCGTAGCGAGGCGCCCAATCAGTGATCGTGTCCGTCGTGTGCTGCTCGCGGTGCATGCCGGGAATTGTAGTTCCCGGTGTCTCCGGTGCCGGTCCCCATGGCGGCGCGGCTGCTGCCGCTGCTGCTGCTGGGCTGGATCCGGCCCGGCGCCTGCACCAACCCTCCGGGCGGCGGCTGGTAAGGGCAGGGGCTGCCCCGGGAGCGGTCCCTGTGCCGGTCCTGGTGCCGGTCCTGGTGCCGGTGCCGAGCGGAGTCTCCCGTTGCAGGGTGGCGGGCACGGTACCGGAGGAACCACGCTGCACCGTGGAGCGAGCCGATGCCTCCCTCACCTATTCCCTCTTCCTGCAGCGGTACGGGGGTTACGGGGGACCCGGCACGGTCCCGGTGCCGAGACAGGGGGCCCGGGGGCAGTTCCGGTGCACCGGGCGGGATAACGGGGAGCGGCGGGGGAAACTGGGGGGGCAGAGCCGGGAGTCCCGGGGGAGAACCTGGGGGAAGGTGGTCAGGACGGAGCCCGGTGCCCCAGGGGTGGTTTGGAGCCAGTCCCGATGCCCCAGGGTGGGTCGGGGCCGGTCCCGGTGTCCCGGGATGGCTCGGTGCCGGTCCCCTGCTTCGCCCGTTCGGACCCCGCTGGATGCCGCCCCCAGGTTCGCCTTCTCCCGGCCGGTGATCCTCGGTGGGATCACGGACAACTCGGTGAGTGCCGCGAGGGGACAGGGGTGGGACGCGCCTCCCGGTGCCCCGGGAGCGGCGGCAGCATCCCGGCTCCCCGCGCTCCGTCCGCAGGCGTTCCGAGCCCTCTGCACCCGGGAGAAGCTGCTGGCGGCCTTCGGGCCCTTCCCGGTGCGGCTCAGCACGGCCAACACCTACTCGTACCGGAAAGGTGAGCGCGGGGCTGCTCCCGCTCATCCCTCCCGTTCTCCCGCTCATCCCTCCCGTTCCCCGCTCATCCCTCCCGCTCATGTTTCCATTCTCCCGCTCATCCCTCCCGCTCATCCCTCCCGTTCCCTGCTCATCCCTCAGTTCCCCGCTCATCCCTCCCGTTCCCCGCTCATCCCTCCGTTCCCGCAGTGGATGTGCCGTTCCAGGAGTACGTGGAGCACCTGCTGAAGCCGCAGGACCCGGCCCGGCTGGGCAGCGGTGGGTAGTGCCCAGGGATGGGTAGTGCCCAGCGGTGGGTAGTGCCCAGCCATGGGTAGTGCCCCATGGTGGGTGGCACTGTCCCGTCCCCGCAGCCCCCTCCCCTGGCCGGGCTCAGCTCCCGTGTCCCCCCAGACACCCTGTACTTCTTCGGGGACAACAACTTCACCGAGTGGGGCCCCCTGTTCCAGCACTACGTGCCCCCTCCCTTCCGCATCCCGGGCACCAGCCCCGCCTACAGCTTTGGGATCGCAGGTGGGACTGGGACGGGAATGGGACGGGATTGGGACAGGATTGGGATGGGACTGGGATGGGAATGGGATGGGGTTGGGCCAGGACTGGGATGGGACGGGGTTGGGATGGGATTGGGACGGGATAGGGACAGGACTGGGATGGGGTTGGGGATGGGATTGGGACAGGATTGGGATAGGGTTGGGATGGGATTGGGATGGGATTAGGATGCAATAGGGATGGGACTGGGATGGGATTGAGCTGGGAGTGAGACAGGATTGGGACGGGATTGGGATGGGGTTAGGGCAGGGTTGGGATGGGATTAGGATGGGATTGGGACAGGACTGGGATGGGATTGGGATGGAATTGGGACGGGATTGGGCCGGGACTGGGATAGGATCAAGCTGGGAATGAGACAGGATTGGGACAGGATTGGGATGGAATTTGGATGGGATTGGGATGGAATTGGGACAGGACTGGGATGGGATTGGGATGGGGTTAGGGCAGGATTGGGACAGGATTAGGATGGGATTGGGACGGGACTGGGATGGGATTGGGCCGGGTCTGGGGGCTCTCCCCAGCCCCACCCCTCCGCTCCCACCAGGCTCAGGCTCTGGCGTTCCCTTCCACTGGCACGGCCCTGGTTTCTCCGAGGTGATTTTCGGCAGGAAGGTGAGAGCTGAGCCCTAGGGGAAGGAAGGATTTGGGGAGGGGGCAGAGAAACAAGCCCCTCCCAGGTGTCCCCGAGCCCGAGGGGATCTGGGAGGGGAATTGGGAGGGGCTGTGCCCGCGGTGTTTTGCAGCGCTGGTTTCTGTACCCGCCGGATCAAACCCCACATTTCCACCCCAACGAGACCACGCTGGCCTGGCTGCAGCACACCTACCCCACACTGCCCCCGGCCCGGCGCCCGCTGGAGTGCACCCTGCGCCCTGGGGAGGTGAGGCAGGGCTGAGGGCACCCCGGGCTCCCCAGCCAGAGCCGTGGGACCTCACTGGTGTCCCCTGCAGGTGCTGTACTTCCCTGACCGCTGGTGGCACGCCACGCTCAACCTGGACACCAGCGTCTTCATCTCCACCTTCCTGGGCTAGGGCTGGCAGGGACAGGGACACGCCACCACCGTGGCAGCCAGGCCAGGAGCTCCAGCTCCTGCCACCCTCAGGGACAGGCCACTGGTATTGGGACCAACTGCCTGAGAAAATTCTGGTTTTTACTGGTTTTTGCTCTCTCCCTTGGATTAAAGTTGTTCTACTGAAACACTCCCTCAGATGTGTTCCTACATCCCTGGAGCAAACCTGTCCCCATGGGATGGCACCGATTCCCCAGCCAGGATATCCCCAGAAATGGCTGCTGTCAACCACTCCAGATCCTTTTCCACGTTTATTGCTGAATTTTTTTTTTATTCTTTTTATATATATATTTTTTTTTTAATGGACATTGGCAAACTTCCAGAGGGCGCTCAAAAGCCAGGCAGGCCGTCAGCCGACCGAAACGCTGGAATCTCACTTGGATGCAAATCTGTTGGTTATTTTTTGTGGGGTTTTTAAAGGGATTTCATTAAAAGGAAGAAGAACTTTAACCCAGGTGGTTGTTCTTAGGGAACCACAGTCCCAGTGGGAAAGGGGAGGTGGGAACCAGCCCCTTCCAGCCCTGGGGCAGTTGTTTCCCAGGAAAAGCCAGAGGGTGCAGCAGCAGCATCCCGGTAAGTGGCTGTTTACAGAGAAGAGAACCCAACCCTGGCCAGGCAGGAGGTGGAAGGAGGAGGAAACAACTCTAAACACAGGGAAGGACGGGGCTCCAGGTGCTCATCCCAGCGAGCCCCGTGGCAATCCCTGGAGCGGGCCGTGCTCTGTGGGGACTGTGGCTGCCCTGGCTCAGGGGTGACAGACATGGTGGTGAGGCCACTGCCGAGGAGCCAGCATTCCAACCCCCGGGCAGCTCCTGGAGCGGGACAGGGGAGCCAGGGAGGCGTGGTGCCCGCCCGCCGCTGCGGCTCCTCGGCAAGGGGACGTGGGGCCGTGCCCTCGCCCAGCGCCAGCCTGGGGCAGAGCGGGGCCAGCCGGGAGCGATAAGGCACGGTGCCAGCCCGGGGAGAGCCGGCCGTGCCAGGGCGCCGGGCGTCCCCGCTCCCTCAGTAATCCTCCACCCAGCCGTTCTCCGAGATGAACGCGTCTATCACCTCCTTCATGGCGAGGTTGGGGATCAGCTGGTCCTGGGTCAGGGGGCTCCGTGTCACCGGGTCGAAATGCCCCACGCGCTGCAGGGGGGGAGGAGGAGGCACGGCAGAACCGGTTACTCCACGTGCCCGCCTCGGCCCCGGGGCGCGGCTGGCCGTGAGGCCAGCGCCGTGTGGCATCTGCCCCAGCAACCGGGCACCTGCTGGTGGCACGGGGAGAGCCCCTGGGAGGTGCCTCCCAGCAGGATGAGGGCAGGCCGAGGTGCCAGACCCCTGCCAAGAGCCGCCTCTGCTTTGGGCATGGCCCGGCAGCGCCCGCTCCACAGGGAGCTGCCCGGGCAGGTAACTGGGAGCACACCCAAGGAGCCTGCAGAGCCCTGAGTTAAGCAAAAAGATGCCTTCCCACCCAGGCAAGGTCCTGGGAAAGCCCTCTGGCCCAGCGGTACCTGGAGATGCTCCTCAATGTCCTTCCTGTCGTAGGTGATCCCGCTGGGCGTGATGCAGGGCTCTCTCATCAGCTCAAAACTGATCTTCCCACACAGGTAGTCAGGGATGTCCCGCTTCTGGCTCGAGAGAGGCACGGCTGGGTCAGGAAAGTGGGCTGGGAGGTGGTGCTGGCTCAGAGCAGGGAGCAGGGTGCACAGCAGGTTTACAGGAGCACAGGCTCAGCCACACTCACCTTCCTCTTCTCATCCACTTGGGAGAAGAGCTCGTCCATGTCTGCCAGGTATTTGTCCTGAAAGAGAAGCCCTTGAGGACAAGGGGTCCCTGGTGTGCAGGGGCTACAGGGCCCCAGGGAGGGCCCCAAAGCCTCCCACTGTGGGTGTTGGGGCAGGTCCTTGGTGGCCCCTCTGCCTGTGCAGCTCCTGGCTGAACCTGGCAGGAGTGATCCAGCTTACAAATAACCTTCCCTTGTGGGCCTATTTTTATCTGGGATTAGTCCCCAACACCCAGACCCACATGTGGCTGAGAGGCACTTGTGTTTCCTCAGGGAACAACAGGCACAGCAGGTGTCACCGCTGCCAGGCTGGGACAAGACGTGACAGAGAGGGGAAGCCATCATGGGGGGACACAACAGCCCTGCAGTGGTGGCTCGAGCTACAGAATGAAGGCTGCTGTGCTGTGTCCCAAGATCTCCCAGCTTTCACCTGCACAGCTGCAGCAGGGCATGAGGATGGGGATGAGGATGGAATGAGGATGGGATGAGGAAGCCCCCAGCCCCTCACTCACGTGTTTGGCCTCGATGCTGGCCAGCTGAACACGGCTCCGGCTCTCGTCTGTGTTCTCCTCCTGCTGAGTCTTTCGGCACTCCGCCAGCTCCCTAGGACAGAGCGGGACATCAGCAGGGTGGGGGACATTGTCACTCCCTTCCCTGCTGCAGGGACACCTCACACAGAGCTGTGACAGCCTGGTGGCACTCAAAAAGCCCCTCCAGGAGTCCCGGTACCTCTCCTTCTCGGCCACGATCAGCTTGGTGAGGTGGGAGTGCAGCTCGTTCTCCTGGTTGATGCGCTTCTCCTCGATGCTGTTCCAGCGTTTCTTCTTGGCGATGCGCAGCGCGCTGGGGATGTCGTCCCCGAAATTCAGCCGCTGCTCCTTGGCCAGGTTGTAGGCTGAGCACAGAAAGGGCACCTCAGCACCAACAGCAGCGTCCCCGTCACCCTCCCTGGCCCTTTCCCAGCAGACAGACAGACAGATAGGCAGGAGCAGGGGACAGTGGCAGCGTGCCCGCTCACCTCTCTGCAGGTTGGCGATGGCCTCGTCGTAGTTTTCCATCTCCATCTGGCACTGGCCCAGGAAGAAGTGAGCCTTCACCGACTGCCCGTCCAGCTCCAGCGCCCGCTTGCAGTCGGCCAGCGCCTTGTCGTGCTGCTGCATCTTCAGGTAGCACAGCGCCCGGTTGGTGTAGTACACGGCCACCAAGGGGTTCCGGTTCTGCGGGGACAGGCCCATGTTGGTGGCCAGGACGTGCCGGGTGACAGCCCGGTGACAGCCCGGTGACTCGGTGAGCCAGCGGCGCGGCAGCGCTGTCACCCTGGGCAGGGAGGGCCAGCAGTGCCAGCCGGGGCGTGCACCCCGTGGGGAGGTGCTGCTATGGATTGGGGACAGGCTGGGCTGGTCCCCATAGGGCAGCCCATGTCCCTGCCCCCAGAGGGGACTGTCCCCCTGGCACCTCGAGCGTCCCAGGGTGGCTCTGCCCTACCCAGCACAGCCCAGGGACACTGCAGGGTTTAGGGGAAACAGGCTCAGGGTGGGGACATTCGAGGGGCTGGAGTTGGGTGGGGGACAGGATGGGCTTGAGAAGGGACCAGGGTCGGGAGGTGCCTAGGCCAAGCCCAGGAGGGGGGAAATCAGGCCCAGAGATGTGCCCGGTCCCCCCAGGAGGAGCCAGGCCCAGTGAGGGAACAGTGTCCAGATTAAAAGGGTCTCATCTCAGGGGCATCGTGGCCAGGCCCTGAGGAAGAACAGTGCCCAGCCCAAGGGGGTTCCACCCCGGTGATACCCAGGCCAGGGCTGGGGACATGTCCAGCCTGGGGGAAGGCCCATCTTGCGGCCGGCAAGGCCCGGTGTGTGGCGGGGGTGTCCCTTCCCCGGGGACCCCACCCCAGGCTTGGCCAGGCCGGCTCCGGGAGAGTGTCCAGCCGAGGGGGAGGTTCCAGCCTGGGCCATCGAGGCCAGGGGGAGGTCGGTGTGTCCCGTCCCGGGGGTGCCCAGGCCGGGCCCCTGGGGACGGTGGTGCGGGTGTTCCCTCCCCGGTGCTCCCGTCCCGAGGGCCGCTCCCGCTCGGGCCGCTGGGACTCACGATGGCGCGGCCGTAGCAGGCGGCGGCCTCGGGGTACTTGCGGCCGCCGAAGAGCCGGTTGCCCTGCTCCTTGTGCTCCTGCGCGCTGTGGCTCTTCTCGGGGCTGCCGCCGCCCGCACCCCCCGCGCCCGGCCCCGCCGAGCCGGGCCCCGCCGCGCCGCCCTCGCGCTCCTCCTTGCCCTTCATGGCGGGCCCGGGCCGGCGCTGGGGCCGCGGCTCCGCTGGCTCGGGCGGCCCCGGCGGCTCCGGCTCCGCCGCTCTAGCCGCGCACTGCGACAGCGCCGCTTCCGGGGCGGGGCGGGGCGCGCGACGGGGGCGGGGCTTGATGGGCAGGGCTGGAGTGGGGCGGGGTCTACGGGCAGGGACGGACAGCCGGGCGATGGGCGGGGTTAATAGGGTAAGGGGTGGGGCTAGCTTTTGGGGGCGTGGTCTGACGAACAGGGGATGGGGACGAGGCGCGTTTGGGAAGGGGCGGAGTTAAGAGGCAGAGGGCGCCGGGGGCGTGGTCAGGAGCGGGGGGCGTGGTCAAAGTGTGGTTTATGGGGTTGAACGGGGTTGGATTGGATGGATGGAAGGATGGATAGATGATGGATGGATGGATGGATGGATGGATGGATGGATGGATGGATGGATGGATGGATGGATGGATGGATGGAGGTGCGGTTTATGGGGTTGAGCATGGTTTGAAGGGAGCAGGGTGTACAGAGGGGCACGGGGGGATGGGTGATGGGCCTGGCTGGCAGGGCCAGGGGTGCAAAGGGCCGTTGGGAGTGTGAGAGTCCAGGGGGGAGACACCATGGAGCTGATGGGGGTGGGAGACTAGGGGTAGGTGTGAATGGGGGTGCAGGGTGTGAGGGGGGCTCGTTGCCTGCAGCCAGCGCTGGTGCATGCGGCAGGCAGGGCTGGGGGGCCGGGGGTGTTTCAGTGCCCACCCCCCACACCCGTGTGCCCCCCGCGCTGCCAGCCCCGGGGCTCGGCCGGGTGCCGCTCCACTGATCCCGGAGTTTTCTGCTCCAGTAAGCCCCGAGCCCGCCTGTGCCCCCCCGGCCAGCCATCCTCAGCGCCCGCCGTGCCTCCATCAGGGATGGGGGCACCCCAAACCCCCTCCCCCGACAGAGACACGAGCCCGCAGTGTGCAAAATATTTATTTATACTCCAAAAAGGTCTGGGGGGGGTTAGAGCGGGGACCCCCCCCCGCCCCCATCCCGGGGCCAGCCCCTGTCCCGGGAGGGCGGCCGGGGCCGGGGCGGGGCGGGGGGGCCGTGCCGCCGAGGGC